ATAGATAGATAGAGAGAGAGAGAGAGAGAGAGAGAGAGAGAGAGAGAGAGAGAGAGAGAGAGAGAGAGAGAGAGAGAGAGAGAGAGAGAGAGAGCACCTCCTAAAGAGAAGCAAGCAAATCTGAGGAATGGTTGAACAACCCAGAGCCCAGATTGATTGAAAACATAGATTCTAGAGGGGAGGCATGTAAATCTGAAGGGTTTTGTCTGTGTTTTGTTGAATGGGTAAATATTGATCAGATATTAGAGACATGGTTTCCCTCAATAGCTGATAGGCCTGGGCTTTCTCAAAGGAAAAAGGATGGAAAGAATACAGGCCAAATTGAATCAACAGATAGTCATTCCCTGACGCGGGGACCCCACGCGGGAAATCATGGCTGAAGAATCATCTTGGACAGGATGTAGAATGGGTGATGATCGTGGGTATACTCAGGTAGGACCTTGGGAGTAGGGATGCGTCGGGGATCGCGATGATGAGTGAGGGTGGGAGGGTGTCTCATAGGGGACCAGTTAGCAATACATCAGGATGATCAAATGGTCAGGTGGTGGCAGGCCTGTCATATGCCTACCTTCTTCCCCCGACTACAACGTACGGTCATTATTGCTGTATTTGGGCTATCTTTCAGTCTAGATACAGCTATAATGACCGTATGTTGTATTTGGGGGAAGAATGCAGTAGCCAGCCTCTACAACATCCTGGACTATTTAAAAAAAGGGGTAACTTCAGTAGAGTCACAAAAATGAGTTATAATTGCATTAGGGGGCAAGATACAGTTTGCAATTGCACTCAGGGCGCCCTACCTGGCCAGAAAGCTGGGTTCTATACATTGCCCAAACTGCAATTCGAAACTGTATCCTAGCCCATAGTGCAATTATAACTCTGTTTTGTGACTCCCAAGTAGTTTCCCCTTCAAAATAAAATAAAATAAAAAGGGACAGAAATCCCATAAATAAGGGGACCCCTAAATAAGGGGAAACTGCTCCTGAGTCACCTTTTTAGTTTGAAATAGTAGGCAAGAAAAAGTCGACGGAGCTAGGTGTGTCTGCTCATATCAGCACACCTAGCATCCGGTCGGGTTGTTAAAAAAAAAAAAAAAAAGAAAAAAAAAAAGAAAAGAAAAGAAAAGACGAAGTGGCACCCATGTCATTGTTTGAGTTTCAGAATGTGCAAGTTTAGCAGGGGGTTGAAACTGTGGCCATTTTTTTGAAGTGGGTGGAATGCAGATTTAGCAGTAGCTTTTTTTGCCCTGTTTCCAGAACTGCTAACTTGAAAGTTGCCTAAGAAACATCCTTTTTTCTTTTTTTCTTAAAAAAAAAAAAAAAAAACTTGCCTACTATTCGAAACACGCTAGGCGTGACCCAATAACTAACTAACTAACTAACTAACTAACTAACTAACTAACTAACTAAATGAATAAAATTATTAATTAATAAATGTATAAAAATGGTACAGTGGACCCCATTTCCGGCAGGTGCTGCTCCCTAACAATAGATTGAAGCCCTCCACTTTGTAAGGACTCAATCTGAGGGTTTCTCTCACCCCCTCTTGATTGAATAGTGGCTTTAGTCTGTGATGTCTTTCTAGAGTTCTTTTTAGTTATGCCGTGCCATGCCATGGTATGCTGTGCTAGGCATGGCAAACCATGGCAAAGCATGAGAAGGCGCCATGGCACCTGTGCTATTGCCATGAGCCAGGTCAGTTTCCTATTTCAGGGGCCCATCTGAGAACCTGTTTGAGCAGTGTGGGGAGCTGCACCTGGTCGTGTTGTGCAGATATCCCTTACCTGGTTGGCCCTTGGCAAAGAAGTACCACCTCCACAGTACTCATCTGGGGGGCACTTGCAAAAAAGGGATGCTCTTATCACTGCTGCATCCCCTGCAAGTGACAACCCCATCACAGAGGTGGGGTGTTAAACCACCAGCACTCGGTCCATACATCGGCCGCAGGGCTTTGTCGTTAACGCCCTGCAACTTCCGGAGGCTTGGGGTACTGGCCCTCAAAGGCTGGCGCCGCCAGCCAAAACAACTTTTTTTCGTTGGGCTGGCGGGTCGGCGCGAAACCGCGTGCAGCCCGTTTTCAGGCTCGGCATCTATAGCTGGGCCAAGTAAAACGAAAAGAAAAAAGTTGCGCCACCTCCCGTAAGGCAGTGGGCAGTGCGGCCTGCCGATCAGGACTAATGGCCCATAACGTAGGGGGAGGCCCAATAGCGATATGCTCCTGTTTTCTGGGAGAGAACAATACACGAGGCCGCCCATACAAGTTGCTAGCTAGGTAGCACAAACAAACGCAGCACAGCTGCTGGGCGCGACCGGTCTAAATGGTTAGGTTCGTTCTTTTTTTTTTTTTTACTTTTTTTCTTGGGTTCGTTCATTCATTGGCCGCTGCAACCCTCTTCACCTGAATGAGTGGAACACCGGGTCATCATACCTATAGTCTGTGCAATTTCCAGTCCGGATATGGCGATAAGGACTACGTAGTAGGCGTTCTCTGCGGGTGAAGACGGTAGGGGGAGTGGTAACGATAGGCCTAGAAACGGTGAGGTTCATTCTTTCTTAGGCGCCAGCAGGTTCATTCTTTCTTACGGCCGGTCACATCGGTGGTATGCTCATGCCTGGAAATCATGAACGTGGCTTTGGCCGCAATCTTTTATATTTACTTGTTGGCTGCAATCTGCCTTCTCTTCTCTCTCTTCTCTATCACATTCGTTCTCCCTTAGGGGCAGCCCCCACTGGTGCTAATGTTCATTCTCTCTGCGCACCTGTCGCGCCCCCACTGGTCTTAGCACGACCACAGTGGCACGCTGCCCCTGCGCAAGAATGACACGCACAAGCACAAATTGAGAAATGGAGTAGAGAAAGAAAAAAAAAAAAGAAAAAAAAAAAAAGGAGTAGCCGCCACGTGCGACAGATCTGAACGCGAGCCGTAAGATCCATAAGAAGATCTACGGAGGAGGCGTCGCGTTTGTCGATCTGTCTTCCTCTCGGTCGGCAAGGCGGGGCCCCTAACTGACGTGTTGCAAGCGAACGGAATCACAGGCAGTAAAAAAGCAGCCCCCCCACATCCTCTCCCCGCGCGCCCCCCCCCAAAAAAAAAAAAAAAAAAAAAAGCAGCCCTTAACCTGTTTCTGATGACCGTATTCTGACGGAATTGAACCTATGATCTCTTCAACGAGAGTTAGGGTCAGATCCCACTACCCTGGATTATTCATTTTTCACCATCGATCACGAAGATCAACGGTCAGAAATGAACAATAGGAGCTAGTGGGATCTGGTCCTTACAAGCGAGTGCCAATTCAGCCACGCGGGCGCGGTTCACGGAGTCCCTTCTCCCCGCCCAAATTTCCAAATTTCCAGTTTCCCTGCCATCCCGGATTCGAGCCTGTGACGTGTTCAAGCGAGTGCCGAGTCAGCCACGTGGGCCCAAAGTTTCGGTTCCCCGCCATCGTACCGGGGCCGAGGTCCCATTAGCAAAAAGAATAGGATAGAGGTCCTGAATCTGGATGTGTTTAAGCAGAGATGCAGAAAACCAGTTCACAATCTCGATTTCCTGCACAGCTCCAGAGACTCGTCCAGATTCAGGCATTCGATCCGGTCCTCTTTGCCAGTGGGACCACGCCACTGTTTCGTCTGGATGGAAGGGAACATGTTTTCTGCTTCCACAGCTGGAAGGCTATCAGGCTGAAAAGGCCACCGTTGTCAGATTAGACACAAGATTGAATATACCTGGGCTGGTTAGTCCGATGATAATACCTCAAGGCCATCGCCCTTTTGGAAAAAAAAAAAAGAAAAAAAAAAGGGGCGGGAAAGGCCCGCGAAACGCGTACCACTGATAATCGGAGTTCTCGAACGGCCGGGGCCAGGTCCCACTAGCAGCGTTGAGTTTCCTCAATGCCTGAATCTGGACGTTGCCTGTGGATATGTGCAGAAATCGCGTTGAGTTTTCTCAACCGCGAACGCGTCCAGATTCAGGCGTTGAGGAAACTCAACGTTGCTAGTGGGACCTGGCCCCGGTATTCACACATGCCCTTGATTTCCACGCGGGTGTCGTCGGAACGGGTTTGATGAGCAGGTTGAGTGTTCTCCGTCCGATTAATCAAGTGCGCTTGGGCCTTCGAGTGAATATGTATTCACATAGGAGGCTTGAGCGTATCTGACCTCCTTTGTGACCACAGTCATAAATCTGTTATGGCTATTCTACAGTGTGTAAATGTACTCACAAGCGGTCGCGGAAATAACGCGCCCAGACTGATGTCCCATGACCCTCGATCCGTCGCTTATGACCGTAGATTTCGAAGATCGATGAACGTGGTGTAGCGGGGAGGTCGCTCCTGATTCCTTTCCTTAGCAATTACACTTGTCCTCGGTAATGCCGAAAGTATTCTCGGCTCTTGTTGGGCGGGGCCAAGTGGGGGGGTTTTGTTGGGCGGGGCCAAGTGGGGGGGTTGTGGGGGAGGTGACATGGGGAGAGGGGGAATGATACGGCGGAATCATGTTTCGAAGCAGAGCAGGGAGGCAGATACGAACGCGCGGAAGAAACGTGTTGCCGCCATAGCCACTGTGGGGCGAAGCTTTTGGTCTTGGGGCGCGACGATGCGCCAGCGAATGACACGTCATCAGTAGACCGTGAAGCGCAACGACCAGTGTGGATTACCGATCTCGATCTGGTCTGATGGATGGAGGACGAGGAAGAAGAAGTGTGAGGAGGTGGAGGGCAAATTGGGCCGTTGGGACATGGTCCTCGGTCGCCATCGCGACCGGGATAGACTGATTGATGACGTGGCAGATCCGTCGGTTTTCCAATGGCACTAAGTAGGAACTGCTCTTCTTTTCTTCCTCCTCTTCTTCCGTCTCCTCCTCCTCCTCCTCTTCCTCCTCCACCTCCAACATCTGCTGTTATCGTTCCTGATGCCGAGGAGGATAACTAGTTCAGGATCAGACCAGCCGGCGATGGCGTCCCCGACTATGGGCACGGGCGCTCCGCAGATCGGCATCGCGACCCGTTCATCCATTGACTACCGTCCGATCATGCCATCGGATCTCGAGGATTTACAGCGAATGCACGAAGAGCTGTTCCCAATCAGGCAAGCTACGCAGCTATCATCATCACCCCTTGGGAGGGAGCTCCTCACTTGCGTCTGCTTTCTTTCCCTACCCACTCTCCCCTTGTCTGTCTCTGTCTCTGTCTTTTCTTTTCTGTCTATGATATCGAGGTAATCACCAGGCGGGTGCGTCAAAGACAGAGACGTGTTCCTCCTTCTTACACGGAGAGCAATTGCCATTGTCTTTGTGTGTATGTGTGTATGTGTGTACGTGTGTGTTTGTGCGCGTGCGCGCGTGCGTGCGTGCTTCTGCGTGTGTGTGCCCTTGCTTGCGTGTCTTTGTGTATTGTGTTGTCATGTTCGGTATACGCAACTCCGCAGAAAGAGCATGACTCTGTCAGACTGTTTCATCGGTGAACTTTCACCGACTCATCAGGAGGTTGAACCCCGACAGTCTGCCCAGGATGCACTTGACGGATGGATAAGAACTCACCACGTCCCCCGGAGTTCGCGATACCCCTGAGAAGAGTGGGCGCCTTCACTCACGCCAACCCTGCAATCCTAGCAGACTGTCGGTCCAAACCCCTGACAAAAATAGCTGTAAATCTGTGTGTGTGTGTGTGTGTGTGTGTGTGTGTGAGAGAGAGAGAGAGAGAGAGAGAGAGAGAGAGAGAGAGAGAGAGAGAGAGAGAGAG